TTTTTTTTTTTTTTTTGTTATATATCATGTCATTGTCACTGGTGCTGTAAGCTTAATTACTAAGGAAATACTATTTCCGGCATATCATTTGTTGTGATCTTGTTTTTTATTTTTTTTTTATTTTAATTTAGTTTACTTTTTACAAAGTGGAAAACTGAAGATAAGAATTTTATTTGCAGATGGGAACCTAACAATTTGATAGGAAGCAAGCACTTCTTAATGAGGCTGAACACTTTTGCTTTTATTTCAAAGATACTAATAGCTCAAAGAAATTTCTGTAGAGTTTCGGTTTTCCTCCTCGTCACTCAAAAGTATTGCACGTTCACGGTTTACTGTAGTTATATAAATCCTTTTGTCTTCGTGATATTTGAATGTCATGAAAATAGGTTTTTGCGAACCTGCACAAATCAGTAAACTATCTGAAAATCTCTAGTCGCGGTCGTTTGATTTGGTGATCACTCAGACAGAAGTTTTGGTTACGTTTTTTTTTGAAGCAGGTTCTTTAAGCATGATGTTTTACCTTCTGATCTGCACGAATGAGAACGATAATGGTGTGGAATCATCATAACAGTCTTAAAGTTGAGGGAGAAACTGTAGTTTGCGAAGCAAACATTTTTCACTGGGGGGTTCCATTCTGCACTGTTATTCTTTTTTTTTTTTTTTGAAGCGTAGTGTTGATTAACTTCTTGACGGGTAATTTATTTTGTTGACTGATCTACTTGTATTATATTTCCAACTTTTCCTTTACAATTATACATTGTAAATTCAGAAGTTTAGACAAATAAATATTGGCAATTCTTCCCAGCTTTTTCTTTATGACTATACGATGTTAATCCAAAAGTTTAGACAAGTAAATATTAGGAATTACATCTTTATTCTAAGCGTACAATCAATTCTGATATCCGGTGTAGAGCGCAAAAGTGGCTTCCGGCAGCAGTTTTTCGCTTGTTTGGCAGGTAAGCTTCAAAAACTTCATCACCCGCTTTTGAGGGACATGGAAGTTTTTACCGTCTTACCAAAATTAGGAATTTGCAGGCAGCGGGAAGGGACTGATGATGGAGGGCTGACACGCGATAAAACGGCATTTCTAAGCAGAAGCTTTGTTTTTTTGTTTTTTACAGTATTACTTCGTAAAATTTTTTATTAATTATTTTGGAATGTTATCCAGTGACATTATAACTGTTAGTAAAGCTTGAGTCGGGACTCCAGGAATGACTAACAACAAAATCTTGACAACATAAAAGCGCAAGAAACAATAATGCAATTCCTAAAAGGTCTCCCATTGCAGTTAATATTGGAATTGCACTGTTGTCAGGATCAATCCGATACTTCCACATAATTGGTACTAAAAGTTGACACAAATACAATAACAAAACAACCTGAAATGCATTTTTTCTATAGACTCCATTTATCTAAAAATTTTAGCTCAAGCTACAGAACTAGACGAAAGAAAATTTTTTTCCCAGTGAAATAAGATGAAATATCTGTCATTGCTACAAATACACATTACATTAAAGTGCTACAAAGGATAGAAAAAGAAAGTGGAACAACGACGAGTACCACGACCGTACCTGTAATACAGAAGCTATTAAATAAGCTACGACAAAGGATGGAGAGGCAGGGGTTCGAGGCACAACGGCAAATATAAGACCTACGAAGATTAAGTGGCCGGGGACAACCATTAATAGTAACATGCGAGCTGTGCGAGCATCGGTATCTGGAAAGAAACTTGATGTTTCCTGTTAATTTCAGTACCATACAATAAAAGATGTTTAGTTAGTGTGGCAGTGAAGCGCTGCAAAAAACTTGATTAAGCAGTTAGCTAAACACGTTTAACACGATTATTTCTGACAACAATTCTCTCCTAATTGTTCTTTCGAAAATTCACAAATAATATCGTTAATAATATCGTTACACAAGTGAAGGCATTGTTTACTGCACATTTTACAAAAATTAATACGTTACCTTTACTAAAGAAAGCACGAATTGGATTTAAACTTCTTCTTAAGGTACCTTTTTGCAGAACACCAAACTCAAACGTTTTATGCAAAAATGTACTAAAACGGCTTGCTTGAACTGCCACTAAATTGCCACCAACTCCTAGAAATCCAAAAGGATTTTAAGACTGTAATTTTT